TCACTACTATTATTTGTTTTGGCAGCTGATTTCCTCCAATCAATCCTGAATGCAGCAAAGCAGCAAGGGCTTCTTTCTTTATCAGTGAATGTACCTCATGATCATGACTTCCCAATTTTACAATATGCTGATGACACCCTTATTTTTATTCAAGGTGATGCAAAACAACTCTTCTTCTTGAAAGCTATTCTTAACACCTTTGCAAAATCCATTGGTCTAAAAGTTAACTATACTAAGTCCATGATGGTCCCAGTGAATGTGACTGAACAGAGGATACATATTTTAGCAAACACCTTTAGTTGTTCTACTGGCTCCTTACCATTCACATATCTAAGTTTGCTCCTAAGTCTTACAAAGCTAACTATGGCTGAATTTTGGCCTTTAGTATCTTAATGTGAAAGAAGGCTTGTCAACATATAATCTTTCTTAAGCTAGGTTGGTAGATTACAAATGACAAATGCTGTGCTTAGTGTCCTGCCAACCTATACAATGTGCACCTACCTCTTGCCAAAGACTGTGATAAAGCAAATTGATAAATATAGAAAGCATTGTTTGTGGAGTGGGTCTGACATTTACTCCAAGAAACCACCCAAAGTAGCCTGAAAACTTGTTTGTAACTCCAAAGAAAATGGTGGTTTAGGAGTTCATGATCTTTATACTCAGAATGAGAGTTTGTTACTTAAACACCTTCATAAGTTTTTCAATAAGTGTAATATTCCATGGGTTTATCTGGTTTGGACTTCTTATTATACAGGTGGAAACTTTGCAATTCACATTAGAAGAAGGGATTCTTTTTGGTGGAAAGATGTTCTTAAATTGTTCAACTCCTTTAAGTACATGGCTTCTGTAATAGTTGGTGATGGCTCCACTTGTCTATTCTGGTCAGATACCTGGCATGGTGATCCTTTAAGTGCTCAATGGCCTCACTTATTCTCTTATGCTAAAGAGAAACACATTCTGGTTCAGGAATTCATGGCTGTAAAAGATAAATCTGATTTCATTCATATCCCCTTATCAGTGGAGGCTCATGATCAATATCAATTATTACTCTCTGAATTAGAAGGTATTCATCTGAACCAGATCTAAGATAAATGGTGTTACATATGGGGCTCCTCTAATTTTGCATCAAGTAAAGAATATAAACAGCTGCTAGGCTCTATTCCAATGCCACCCATATACAATTGGTTGTGGAATTCAAGTTGTCTACCAAAGAGAAATGTGTTTTTCTGGTTAGCCATTAAAGATCGTCTCAGTACCCGTGGGCTTCTGAAAAGAAGAAATATGGGACTACAAAGCTATAATTGTGTGCTTTGCCATCTAGATAAGAGGAATTTTTAAATCATCTCTTTCTAGAGTGCTCCTTTGCTATGTCATGCTGGAACATGTTGGGATTGGCTCATCTAATTCAGGACAATTTAATTGATACAATCTTCTTGTTCAGAACCCAAATTCGCCAACCCTTCTTCATGAAAATTATTGTTGCAAGGAATGATGCAATCTTCAGAAACCAGCAACATTCTTTGCAATCTTGCAAGCAAGTCTTCAAGCATGAGCTAGCTCAAGTTAAACTTCGAGCTAAAGAAGATTTAAGTTCACAAATTCAGTTATGGATAGACAACTTTATGTAATCTTACTTATTTTCCTTGTTTCCTTCTTTGTTTCTTGAGCTTTTGTACCAGACAAGTTCTGTACTTAAAAATTAGAGTAAATTGCATCGTAGGTCCTTAAACTTTTTGTTGATTCCCGTCTGGGTCCTTGAACTTAAAATGTTACCATCTGGGTCCTCGATCTATCTGTCTCGTGCACTAACAGTCCAAAACATGCCACGCGTGCGCTAGGAGCTGATGTGTACATTGCCACCGTGGATCTTCCTTGCATGGATCTTCAAACGCACACACGCATGCATGCTAGGCACAGGTGCATGCACCATGCGTGCACACGTCGGCTTCGGTCGGATCTTCACTTGTGTGCCCAGGAGCCACATTGCAGGTTCGGCCGCCTCCAGTCATTGCGCGCGTACAGCACCACGTCCGGCGCCTGGTTGATCCTCCTCCGGCTTCGCGCGACTCTCCGGCGGCGTGCGGCTCCTCCGGCTTCGACAGAACTGGGCGTCGCGATTAGGTATACGTTGGCTTCCTCTCCCTCCTGCCTGCCGTCTACGCGTTGAATGGCGGTCGTATACATGTGCATGAATATGTGCTGCAATTGCTAGCTTCTTCCATTTAGCATGTCGTGAACACGCTGACATGCATGGCCCTGAATCGTGTACAAGCCCATAGACTTGTTGCTAGCTTCTTTCCCTTTAAGCCAGTAACCGGCCGTATGTACATGCATGGCCAAGGCTTCTAGAAGGTTTGGGACTACGCCCGTTGCTGGCGTCGCACACGGTGAAGGACAGCACGTACGGCCGCCCCGGCACGGTGCAGATCACCTGCGCGATGGCGGTCTCGCTCCCTCCCGGCCAGCAGCTCCACGGCGCGCCGGCCCCACGATGTCGCCGTCGATGTACTTGATGGCCTTGAGCGACTCCACCATCCACCCCGGCAGCGGCAAGTGGTCGCCCCCGACCTTGTTGGCGTCGGCGACCCAGGCCCAGGCGTACGAGTCCCAGCCATTGCTGTGGTTCTCACGGTACATGGTCTGCATGGCCACCAGGCCCGACTGCCCCGACGCGGACACGTTCAGCTGCTCCGCCTGCGCGCACGTCCGCGTCGCGCTGAACGTGAGCGAGTCATATGGCGGCCGCATGCTCGTCGACGAGCTTGATGGCCTCCCTGAGATCCCTCTCGGACCCGACGTTGAGCAGGTGCTTGGCCTCCACAGCAGCGGCACCGCGGCTGTGCAAGTGCAACGCATGGCGCTGTGCCGCAAAGCGGCGGAACACGTCGTGCAGGTCGACGACCACGCCGGCGTCAGCGGCGGCCGTGAGGACCGGCAGGAGGCAGAACTCCACCTCCTGCCGCGTGCGCTAGGAGCTGACATGGACATGCCACCGTGGAGCCTAAGGGGAAGGGCCTCGCGGTGCTGCTCGGGGACCTTCTCTGCCGCGGCATCTTCAACGTCGACGACCTCAAGCTTGGCAGCTCTGGTCCTACGCATTCGGGGTCGTCGCGCAGGAGGTGGAGTTCTGCCTCCTGCCGGTCCTCACGGCCACCGCTGACGCCGGCGTGGTCGTCGACCTGCATGACGTGTTCCGCCGCTTTGCGGCTCAGCGCCATGCGTTGCACAGCCGCGGTGCCGCTGCTGTGGAGGCCAAGCGCCTGCTCAACGTCGGGTCCGAGAGGGATCTCGATCAGGGAGGCCATCAAGCTCGTCGACGAGCATGCGGCCGCCATATGACTCGCTCACGTTCAGCGCGACGCGGACGTGCGCGCAGGCGGAGCAGCTGAACGTGTCCGCGTCGGGGCAGTCGGGCCTGGTGGCCATATGCAGACCATGTACCGTGAGAACCACAGCAATGGCTGGGACTCGTACGCCTGGGCCTCGGTCGCCGACGCCAACAAGGTCGGGGGCGACCACTTGCCGCTGCCGGGGTGGATGGTGGAGTCGCTCAAGGCCATCAAGTACATCGACGGCGACATCGTGGGGCCGGCGCGCCGTGGAGCTGCTGGCCGGGAGGGAGCGAGACCGCCATCGCGCAGGTGATCTGCACCGTGCCGGGGCGGCCGTACGTGCTGTCCTTCACCGTGTGCGACGCCAGCAACGGCGTAGTCCCAAACCTTCTAGAAGCCTTGGCCATGCATGTACATACGGCCGGTTACTGGCTTAAAGGGAAAGAAGCTAGCAACAAGTCTATGGGCTTGTACACGATACAGGGCCATGCATGTCAGCGTGTTCACGACATGCTAAATGGAAGAAGCTAGCAATTGCAGCACATATTCATGCACATGTATACGACCGCCATTCAACGCTTAGACGGCAGGCAGGAGGGAGAGGAAGCCAACGTATACCTAATCGCGACGCCCAGTTCTGTCGAAGCCGGAGGAGCCGCACGCCGCCGGAGAGTCGCGCGAAGCCGGAGGAGGATCAACCAGGCGCCGGACGTGGTGCTGTACGCGCAATGACCGGAGGCGGCCGAACCTGCGCAATGTGGCTCCTGGGCACACAAGTGAAGATCCGACCGAAGCCGACGTGTGCACGCATGCGTGTGTGCGTTTGAAGATCCATGCAAGGAAGATCCACGGTGGCAATGTACACATCAGCTTCTAGCGCACGCGTGGCATGTTTTAGACTGTTAGTGCACGGGACAGATAGATCGATGACCCAGATGGTAACATTTTAAGTTCAAGGACCCAAACGAGAATCCACACAAAATTTAAGGACCTACGATGCAATTTACTCTAAAAATTAATAAAAGTTCAGTAAGGTGCGACCCCTCCTGTTTCCCTTAAATAAAAAAAAATCCGTTTTCTGGTCAATCTAATCAAGACCTCAAGCATGCTACCTCTGTTCTGATGAGTGATCTCAGTTCTTGACTGCTAAGTGTAGTGTTTCTGGAACAAACATCACTCGATCGGTTCTGGCAGTAGTTACAGCAAACCTGCCTTCCATCGTCTGACATGTCAAGGGCGCGCAGCAGCCCTCCGCCCCTCCGTGATACGGTGCTAACAGATCATGCTGGAAATGTTGCACAACCTGAACCTGTCCAGGATGTTCATGACCGAGAACATCACAACGGAAGCCCTCAACACTGTTTTTTTTTTAATCTCAGAACTTCCCACTGTATTGCCCTCCTTTGGCCGGGCAACCATCGATGGATTATTGATGGTGATACTTCCGTCTGCCCATATACTAGAACAACCAGTAGAAATATCATCCGACTTATACGCTTCAACCTTCTTCTGAGTTTGACGGCACTTCTTTAAATTATCACAAATAATGGTTTACTGGTTTCATGTACAATACAGAAGTACAGTATGTGTAAATATATCAAGCAAGCACAAACCATGCCATGGTGTAAAACCCTTTAATCAGGATCGGGAGTGACTCGTTTGTTGCATTTAACTAGCCACCTCAACTGGCTCAGACCCTTTGTCAATCGAGGCTTTCACAGCATCCAAAACCAGCTGCGTCTTCCGGGTGATAGCCGGCCACTTCCCCTCAGGCTTGCCTCCAGCATCCCGGATGCCCTGCACGAGCCTTGCGAATTCCTGGACCATAAGGGCTTCCTGTGGCAGGTCCGTCGCCACGACGTGTTTGCTTGGCAGAGGATTCCATCCAATGTGGAGGTCAGCAAAGCTTGACTTCGAAGCCACGTGGAACTCCGCCGACTTCTCTTCGTATGGGATGACAAAGTCAGTGACATGGATAGTTCCATTCGTGCCAACCAAGGTGATGTCCATGGTGAGATTGGTCAGGAAAGAGCAGCTGAAGGTAGCAGTCCTGCCATCTGCCCAGTACAATGTCGCCCCGCATGCAAGAAGCACGCCAGCTTGGTTCTTTACAGGGTCACGCAGTGCGATCACAGTCTTGGGCAACTCATAGTCAACAGCCCACAGGATTGCACGGATGCAGTACCACCCAACATCACCAAGTGCACCCAGGGCATCAAGATCTGGCTTTACTCTGATATCATTCTCGAGGAGATCTTCGTTTGCTCGGAAGCTGAACACACTGTTAATCTGCAGAAAAAGAAGAAAAAAACCCAATGATTTTTGTTGACCTACAAAGCTTTGTAGAACAGTAGAGATGAAGTGGAACCAAACAGTTACAAATATATTCTTCCACAATAGTATGTAAAGTACGACTATACATTAACCTATAGCATTTCATACACGTCTTGAAATTCTGATATTAACATGTGCTAAGAGGTGTAATGACTGCAGCCAACCATTTCACCATCTGCTTCTAGCAATTACAAATTTGTAGATACGTATAAATGAAAAATGACATGTATGTGAAATATCCTATTATTTTCTACATAGCTGGAACAAATTAACCAGACTTGATGCATAACAGATATTCCCTGAACTGGTAATTTGGATACACTGAAATTTTATAGTAACTAAAATATGGTGTTTAGCTTTCACAACTTAAATCCTTCAGAGTGCTCTACCGCCATCTCAAATTATAGATAGACTGGAAGTGGTCCACCGAGAAATGAATTCAAGCTCACCTCAGCTTCAACACTTCCAGCAATGTCAATATGTGATAATTTACAAGAGATTTTGAAAACCTTAGAACTTTATAAAACTAAAACATGATATTTATTTAAATATATGCTAACCTTTAATTCTTTATATGTGTGATGCATCATCTTAGACAAATTGTATAACTAGCAGGCTGGCACATAAAAACGGCGAATGTCAGACTACATTGCTCAGACAGAACCGATAAAACAAAAGCATTAGGTCCATTTGCCAGAGAAAAAAGAAGAATGGTGAACCACCATGTGGTTATTGTGCCTGTGCGTCCATGTATGTAAAATAGTCCATCCTTGGTTAGACCTTTACTAGGAAGACGACTTTTTTAAGATTTCTTGGGTATCCGAAATAAGATGGTTATTCTAACTGCCACGCCATCAACAAAATATTGTATGCTAGTTGGAAGAACTGATCCGCTAACTTGGTCAATAACAGCTTATGGTTGTATCCATTTGTTGGTTTAAGATACCTTGGAGACAAGAACAAATTAACAAAGTCTAAATTTAAAATAGGACAGTAGTTCCATGTTGCTAGATACAAAATGTCACCATTCCTTCGCCATACCCAGCATGACAAGGAGTAGGAGACAATGAAAGGTACCTGACATATTTTGCTTAGTAGCTATCACCATTTTTTCTTTATGTCCAGCCCATGCCAATCAATCATGGTTCTGTTATTGGTTTGTAGTAGAACCCACTTATGGGCTGTTTCTGTTTGGATGAAACATTCACTACAAATACATGTGGTTCGGAGAGGTAAATGATTGACAAAATACGCCTTAAGGGCATCTCCAATGGTAGGAGTCAGCTGTTAGCTCTTAGATACCATCTCATCCCCTGTCATCTATGCAAGAGATAGAGGAGGTGTGTCTTTCATGCATCGGAGCACACAAGTGCCTAGCTCTTCTCCTAACGTTAACTCAAAGGTTTTAGGCCACTGTCTCTCCCACATGGCACCGAATGCTAGTTTTGGAGCTAGTCATTGGAGACACCCTTATATTGATAGATGGAAAGAGTACTAGGTTTGTACAAATATGGGAAGAGTACTCTCTCAATGTTGTGGTGGCCGATGGGTTTATTTCAGAAGTCAAACATAGCGATCACAGCACACATGGCTCTTCCAAATGTTCCTAGCTTTTTTTATGCTTGTACACTTGCTCCAATCATAAATAAAATTCACTTTTGACTGTTAGTATCTAAATTTTTATTTAGATTGCAACACGATCCCAAGGGTTTCAGCTCATTAGTTGCTGGGGTGGCATGGTGGATTTGGAAGCATATAAATGGTCGTGTCTTTGAGGGATCTCAGCCCAATCGTAATATTATCTTGCATAATATTAGGGATCAGGCCAAGTCGTAGTGTATGGCACTATGGCAGTAGTGTATGGCAGCAGCCAAAGGACCGCTTAGCTTATGGCCAGGACTGGTTTATTGGTTTTTGGTCGTTTCTTTGTTTCTTTTCGGTGTTTTCTACTGTATTGGTAATGAGGTCATGCCCTTTTAGGCCCTGTTCTCGTTTCATCATAAGATCAGAGGGATTGAAAGGGGTTGAGGGGGATTTTGACTTGTAGGGTATTTAATCCCCCTCAATCTCCTCCAACCTTTGGTTTTGGGATCAACACCTAGACAAATTTTCTTCTTCTTAATATAATGGTAATGATATGCAGCTTTCTGTGTTCTCAAAAAAGTTAACAACATGATATTGGTACTACTAGACTCATTACGCAAATTACATTGATAATGTTACCTCTTTCTATTCAATATAAGAATATTTTAATAAATAAATATTAATAGTCAGTGTCAGCCCTTTAGATACGTACGATGACAAACTGTAAAAAGGCACACTTTACTAGGGAATCTTATCACACTTCTCTAGCAAACAAATTAAGGCTGCTGAACCGTTGAGCATTAACAACTGGGAAAGAAAAAGAATAGTCTTTTCCTGTACAAATTCAGTTATTGATAGTACTTCTTACTTACTGATAATAAACTGGGAAAAAAGAATTCCATTTCTTGGTTACGGGTAACAAAGGTTGCGTATTTCTAATCCCCATTCCAGTCTTCCAGGAAGGTTTGCAAATAACTCACCGTTCTGATGTCCCCAATGGCGTCCTTGTCGTCGACGGTCTCCCGCATCTTGGCGGTGCGCGGGTGGTGCATCCACATGGTGGAGTCCATGAACTGGACCCCCGCGGCGTCGCAGGCGGCGAGGATGGCGTCGAGGTCGGCGGCGCACAGCGCGGTGGGCTTCTCTAGGAGCACGTGCTTTCCCCTCGCGGCGGCGGCGGTGGCCCAGCGCACGTGGAGGCTGGTGGGGAGCGGGAGGTAGACGGCGTCCACGTCCGGGTCGTCGAGGAGCGCCTCGTAGGAGCCGTGGACGCGGGTGGCGGCGACGTCGAGGCCGTTGTCGGCGGCGAAGAGGCGGGCCTTCTCCTCGGAGCGGCTCCCGACGGCGGCGACGGCTGCGCCGGGCGCGAGCAGCATGGCGCGTGCCAGCTTGCGCGCGATGGAGGCGCAGCCCAGGATGCCGAAGTGCACGGGGCGCGGCGGCTGGTCTGGCGCCGCGGCGGACGACATGGGCAGCGGCCGGGACGCCAAGTGCTCTTTCGCGTGGGCTTTGGTTGGCGGATTGGCGCGTGTGGGCTCTCTCGGTGCGGTCGTGTGGGTCGTCCGTGTTGTTTACCGTGTGGTAGGCGACGCCTTGTGTTCCACGGCGGATATGTGATTTGGGGCGTACTCGGCCTTCGCTTTCGCTCGGAGCCAGCGCTTCTCGTTCTAGCACAGTCTAAGGCCTTCCGCAGTGTGTCGTCAGAGATGATGCCCAAAAGTAGAGAGAGTGCTTGAGCATCACTTTCAACGTATAGGTAGTGCTGGAGTGCAGCCGAAAAAAAAAAAGGGAGTGTTTGGCTGATAAGCCATGACTAAAAGTACCGTTGACTGATTTATTATGAGAGAAAAATAATATTCGTTGACTGGAAAAAAATATAACTTATAAGCCAAGCAAACATGACGTAGAGCAATGCACGTAGAAGATGTATCGGTGTCTAAATCATAAAATATATTAATTCGCTGTAGAAAAAAAAGGTGACAGTTGGTCAGAACGGTTATATTTCATCTCATTTCATAGAGACAAAACCGTTGGTCACACCGAAGTTGGACGCACATGTCTTCAAACTACATATGACCGTTATCTGGAAGAGCAGGGTTGGACGAGAGATATCCAGCCTGTTCGGTTTGCTGGTTCGTATCGTTGCTGGTTCATGAAGTACTACTGGCTAGTTTATGTGAGAGAAAAATACTATTTCGACTAAAAATTTACGATCGTTTACGATAAGCCACAGCCAAACGAACGGGTAGATCCATGGCAGGATTTGCTAGAGCGGGGAGGACCGAACGAGGAAGAGAAAGGAGATTTTTCCTCGCGCGAATGAACCAGATGGAGAACGCAGTGAGATATTTTTCTGACATCACTCATTTTGGGCGATGCCACAATGAGAGGAGTGATGCTATATTTTTCGCTCTCTTTTGACATCACTGAGCCGCACATTGTGAAGGGTCTAGGATGTGCGTGGGTCCTACAGACCTATGCTCTACACTACACACGAGTTCAGCCTCCACAGCTCCACGTGCCCCGGTGGGGGCGGCCGGATCTTGCTAAAAGGAGTTGGTTCTGTGTCGATGGATGCTGAAAGAACCCAAATAGGATACATTTCTGTGTAAAACCATTTGGTTCTTAGCCTTCTTGCCTGCAACAGCCAACGGGTGCAAGGATTTCATTAGCAATTCACGCCCGCAGTTCACCGCGTACCGCATAAATTGCAAGATGATTCACCTATACATGATAGTGATCTGAATAGAGTGGTACTATATTTTTCTAAATATTTATCTTACTTACAGTGCGTGTTATAGTTACCTCCCACGTCACGCTACTGCAATGCTGCTATTTACTTTAATTAGTTAGTACCCGTGCGTTGCCGTGGGAGAAGTGTTGCAGTCACAACTGAATAAGGAAGAATTAAGAAAAATTATGGTAACTAAGATGAATACATTGAAGTCATGTAATGGGCGGAACTTTGTACAAACGGCTGAAGCAACTGTATGTCTGTATGCACAGGGTATGCTAATGAGTTGATGAGTATAGAAAGGCTAGAACTGCTGAGGCAATCATCTGTGTGACCAAGATAGAATTTCAGTTGGTCTCTATAATTTGTAATAGGCAGGGCGTTTATACAGGCCTTCAAACGGTGTTTTTTAGAGAGAAATATAGAGCTAGAATTCTAAGATCGCTGGTTCCATGCAACTTGTTACATCAATGTAAGTCTTCATGAATAAGAGGAAGGCCAAGCAACACTGACTGTAACGGCAAGATCAGAATTAGTGCCACTGAGTTCAACTATGCAAGTCTTCATAAACAAAAGGAAGATAAAGCAGAAGCTGAAGCCTCAGGCCTCTGCTGGGTTGCAGTGATATAGAAATAAAATTGAGGTCAATGTTATGTTGTTTCTATTTATTTAGATGCATAAGAGAGAGGAGGTGATAGACCACCACTTTTGTTCCGTAGAGGTGAAGAATCAACGTGATTCTCCTCATCATGACTTGGGTGAACACAGCGAAACGGGTAGTAGAGCAGGTCCAAAAAGAATATTTGGACAGAAAGGTGGCTGCTTACCTTTTAAATGTTTGCCCCGGCTGAATCGTGCATCTGTAAAATAACACCTACAAAAATGTTACAATATGTTTTCTCTTCAGTGTGCATACACAGTAGCTTGAAGTTGAAAGTACTCAGGCATGCAAAGTACCACTAGAGGGCACATATAAATTTAGGTTTGGTGGGCACAACCAGATAGATGCGACAAACTGTAAAGAGATAAGGAAGAACCGAAGAAGTTTGTGAAACATAATTTTGGGGCAACATTTAAAGAATCCCACTACGCAGTTTTGCAATAAGAATAGCAACGACGGTTAGCAAATATGACAAAGTTTCCATCAGACATGAAGAGACCATGGCTTCAATGTGACCGAATGTATAAATCAAATTAAAATGATGTACCTTGTTCGTGTAAGAGGAAGTCCTTGAGATTGCTGGATTGAAAAAAATGTATTGATATTTAACGCTGCTATGGACCTGAGGTCCAGATAATCCATTCTGCCCAGTTTCCTTAGCGTGTGAATCATAGAACACTAGAAAGACCGGCGCGGCAATTGCCGCGCCCAGCTTGGAGGAGGCCACAGCCCATTGGATTCTAAAGAGTACTCTAATTTTCTGGCTATCTTTAAAGGCACCAATTTGTACTTATAGTAAAGATCAGAGATTGTTAACAGAGATAATTCTTTTATTCGGAGTGAATTAGTTCGCATATGTTTTATCAGTATATAAGAGTATTTTGGAAGTATGGATTTCACTGAGATTCTTTTTTTTTCTGAACTGAGTGAACTTTGCTTTGAATGGGATCTAAGTGAAAGAACTCATCAAACAGAGTTTGCCATCTCAATTCACTGCTCTCTGAACAAACTGAGATAGTATGATCTTGTCGTCAGTGAAATAGATCTGAACATGGACTTAAGTAGCTTTCCATCAATCGGCATCTCTGTGGACGAATAGTCACTGCAAAGGACTGAATTGAAATCCAAAGGCAATCTCGAATAAACAGCAATGAGTCATAAAATAGGTTCCCTCTATTTGCGTAGCTAGCAGTGAAGAAAGTTGTTGACATTTTTTGAGAGTGTTTTGAGTACTAATATGTATTTTCCAGAAACAGTTTATGCAAGAAAAGGCAGGACACATATACCGATATACCTTCTCCAGTTCAATATTGCTTACAAGAGTTGGGCTAGGTTCACATGTTCCATCTAAAGTTATTAGCTTATGATGCTTGAATACGCAAACAAAAATATTTGTGGTGTTCATCTGTACCGATTAAAAAAAAAAGGCTGCACCACAAGAGCATCCTACATGAATTCCCACTTTAAGAATGGTGAGGCTATGCATTTAACTATTTTGAGTAGATCAAATAATGAACCAGCCTGCTAAGTTTTCTCATAACAATGTTTGCTTCAGCAAGTATGCCTGTCTGAGTTAGTTGCATAAGAAAAAACAAGTGTTATCTTGATCTATTAACTTGCATGGTACTGTTCTACAATGTGGCAGAAAGGTAAATTAGAGTTTATATATCTTGAGAAAAAGTGATTTACAAGGTATTTTTACAACATTACTACCTTTGTTGACTCCCACGAAGTGTTGCTACTCAGAAGAATGCAAGATTGCCTTCTACAGAACTTTGTCAGTTTTGGACATCTAGTAGAATTTTGGTACATACTTCGCCTGGATTAATGTTCCAGTAGATTGAGGGTCCTATGTTTCTGATGGAGTATTAACTCTTGTAGAATTCAATTGGAAAGATAGGTGCTAACTAAAAGAAGTGGTGGTGCAATTTGGTCTTCTTTGTTTAAGGTAGACACATTCTTTGATATAAAGTAAACTATCTATAAAGGCAAAACTTTTAGATAAAGTGTAACTCTGTAATGCATTATCTTGAATAATGCATTGAAATATGCATGAGCCATTTGAAAGTAGGATTCCAGATCTATTGCAAATACTGTACTACCAAATTCTGCTATGTTTTGTGCTTCACTGACCTATAAATTAAATGGAATAAGGTAGTTGCAAATTCATTGTTCATACAGAATAAAGAGAAATATCAATACTGTTCGCTTGATCGTATCAGTCATGCTTATTAGCTATGATATAGTGTTTTTCTCTCACAATAAAACAGCATCGGCCAACTTATAAGCCATAGAAACGATCAAGCGAACAGGGTGAATGATGTTTTTCCTCACAATTTCTGTGTAATTTTTAAACGTTCAATGCTGCAACAGTAGCAAAAGGGGAAGTTTACAGTGCAATCAATGTATTTTAAATATAATTGAAAGACAATAGCCATTCAAGCGAACACTTCTATTACTGTTGTGTAAAATATAATTGAAAGGCAATAGTAAACTAAATAAATCTTTGCGTTAACCAATAATATCCTTGGAAGTATTATTGTTGCCTGCTTAGATTTTTGAACCAGTTTAATCTTGTATCGCACAAAGAAAAACATAAGTACTAATAGCCCGATAAAACATATATTTCAGTTTTTGAGCAAGCATCGGTGAAGTTCAGTAAAGAAAGTTGAATGTCACAGTTAATAAAACCTTCTGCGCTGCTTATCCAAGTCACAGCGCTCTGAACGGTCATTTCATCGAACAATCTAGTGGCGTAGCGAAGCAGCTACAGCAGGAACGGGGACAAGGCGACAATGGAGTTGGCAGAGGTCTTTGCCGACGATGGCAATCGAGCGCGGAGGCGAGGTGGATCTGGGCGGCCATTGGCCCGCGCCTTACCTCCGCCGTGGTTGCCCCGAAGAAGACCTCAACGCCCTGGCCGTAAATGCGGACGAGCACGTTATGCGGGTCGCCCTCGCCGCCGAGCGACCCTTGATCTAGGACATGACGAGCACGCTGGGGTCCACCTCGCTGCCCCAGAGGTCACCGGCGAGGCGGTGCAGGACGCGGTGCGCGTCCTTCGGGATCCAGTCGATGCTGGTGCTCCGCTTCAGCGCCGGCGCGGGAGCCGCGGCCTCCGCGCGTGGCGGTGGGTCGACGACGTCCATCGGCGGCGCGCGGAGGAGCACAAGGAGGAGGCGGCGATCTGCAGAGAGTCGGAGAGGTGGGGGTGAGTCGCGTGCCGGGTGGCCTGAGGCCAAGGCGACGAGTTTGGGTCGCGAGACTTCGTGAGGTTTCGGGTCCGCTTCGAAGCGGGCAGGACCCGAACCGATCTGCATCAAACGGCCCTTAGCACGAGCTGGCTCGATCCGACGGCTTGCGGTTTTTCGGGCGACGTGCCCGCTTTTGGTGCCTGAATCGTATTTAGTGATGGGCTCAATATATAAACAGAATAATAGATCTGCAAACTACGGCAAAATAAGCCCAAGTAGACACATTTACATGACAAAGCACATAAAGGAAATGAGCATGCAGAAATACAAAGCTGAAGGTGAACACAGCCTCCTGGAGCCTGTAGCAACATCAGGAGATGGGTGATGCAGAAAATGTCACCATGAGTAATCGTTGCTGGAGGCCAAGGAATTAAAATTAAAAATGTTGTACACTAATTTGCATTCTCGGACCTTGGAACAGAAAATATTAACAACCTAATTAGGTTCAAGGTTTTTAAACAAAGGAGAGCAACATTTAAGTCAATTTGAGGGGCAAACTGCTGTAGCAGGTAATGAGGACAGCATTTAATGAAATGAACAAACTGTGCTAAATCATTTTGCCAATGTTTCCTTAGCGACATGAGGCAAAGACTATATCTACAGTTATAGATTTTGTAGCATGCATATTTTTCCTGAACGAAGTCTAGATTCTGAGGTGTGCATTATCCAGATTATTAGAGCTAAGAGTCACACTTCTAGTTTCTAATGCCATACACATAGTAATATCAAAAGGCGGCGCTTGTTTTGCGCGTTGCCCATGGCATCGGAACTGCAATGAAGCCAAGAAGGTAAGAATTCTCAATGATCTCTTTACCTGGTGCACATGGAGGTATTTTTTTAGTTAGCAGCCAATGAAGGAACCTGCAATGCAGTGCAGTAAACATAATTTGCATGATGCATAACTCTACATGTCTTTCTTTTAATCGAGATTATTAGCATCTACCTACTGTGCTTGAATATTTTATCACTGCATGTTATTATAGGATGGTGCCCATCGTGAGTAGAGTGCTTTATTTTAGTCGAACACATTGCAACGGGACACATAGCTTGGCGCACTACCTGAACGACTTCAATAATCATGCCATGAATTCTAATTCAACTGTGAATCGGACTTCGCATGGGCACACAAGGTTTAGAAATTTATTCAATGATTTTATCATACTAGTAGACATGCACGTGCAACACACACGTGTCTATCAAAATAATCTTTATATCGAATAATAATAATGACAATGAAACTTTGGAGAAGTCAACATATATCATATACAAAATATAATTATCAAAATCGTTATTCTTTTTTTTGAGTCATGTTTATAATTCTATTTTGCTTGTCCGTCTTTCTCCAAACAATTATCACGGGAACATAGTAGTGAGACAATGGTGTTTTTGTCACGACTTCACGTCCGCAGGCTTCTATGCCGGAGCAGCGAATCATGGCTTCTTGTACGTACGTGAGAAGGGCACCCGCTCGTCCAAACGCGAAGTGCTTCTCTGGCTCTGGTGCCGAATCTGTTGGCGGAGCAAGAGACAGAGTGCCACCAAACATGCTGAAAGTATTTGAGCACATTTTCATTATTTATTCAGTAAGGTAAGTTGAATGCTAATGTGATAGCCATTCATAGTTTCAAATTCCTTATTTTTAAGAGATATACAAATGCCATAAACCCATGTAAAAAATATTTTGAGAATTGTAAAATTCGTTAATGAGTTATAGTGCAATATCCATTTCCCATTGCAACTTTTTTTCACACAAAATGATGCCAGTCCTTAGCTAGAAGAGAACATCAGGATTTAGTCACATATGAGCTTCATCATGGATAAAATGGTTATTAGAAATCAGCAAGGCCACTCCAAGCTGAAGTTTCAGTGACATTTGGATTATATTGATATGAACGTGGTACAACAATGCAAAACTATGGGTTATCAGCATATGAATTTTGAATAGCTACATCGAGAAACCTCTAGCCAAAATACAAAACATAATTGTTACATCCTTCCCTCCTCTACATGAGGATGTCTTCCATGTATTAATTACCAGGAAAAATATATCAGTATTACTTATTCTCAAATGTGCAAAGTCAATTTCCACAATCATAAATTAAAACAATAGACATATGTTCAGAACATTGAAGAAATGAAAGCAGCATGCAAGTCCCACAAACAAGATATCAATTTAAGCACTGTGCAACAAGAATTCAGACAGACAGAACAAAGATTTGGGTATTAGGATGCATAGTTCAGAACCTTGTTGTTATGCATCATTAGGCCATTGCAAGTGTAAATCCCTACATCCTGCAGTTTCTTCGTGTGTCCTGCATTTATCCCCCGAGAAATCAGGGTGCCAAGCATATGCATGCACCACAGATTAGCTTGAACGCAGTAATTATATATGCTGAGTACTCAAATTAATAGCATTGAACAACGCAAATGGAAAACACAACACCAGTGAATCCTATTTTTGTCAAAACAGCACGTTAATAACCATGGTTCTGGAACCCTGTGGTTTCAGCAAATCTGCAGATAAAGTAAAACTTTAGATGATCTACAAAGAAATTGTAGGAGCATTTACATGTACAGAAATCAGTGATTAAATTAAGAAAAATAGTAAAAACTATAGCTGCTAAGCATAATGGTTTCAAAGCACAAATGATTCTGTACACCACCTGACACTGAAGACTTCAGAGGCCAAAAAGAATACTGATAAAGGCTGTCAAACTTGAAAACTATAATATATGTAGCAAGTGGTTGGAATTAATCTTGATATTGAAATCCATGCTAAAGGAAGTTAAAATAGTCACATATGTACCTGTGACTTTGCGCTTGATATCCACGATTGCTTGTCGAAAGAGAAAAGAGCATAAACTAAGCACCCATGTTTTTTTACATTAAAGTTCAATGCTAAAATTGATGTCAATTACAGCACAAAATGAAATAGTAATTCGACAGTTTTCTTAACGTCTGACCAATCACCGGTTCCAGGTACAAATACGTATTTTTATATGATATGTAATCTGACGCAGTTCAATAGGACATCCCGTGATTTCTTATTTAGGCTAAAGGACGCCACTTTTTTCCTTAGCAATTCTATAATATACAGCTGCAATAGTTAAAGTGGTGACATATTATATAGAAATATAGGTAACGGCTTCATCTTTGTTTTTTGGTCAATAGTGAAACATCAATCTGGGTTATGTCCATCTAAGTAAACCAAGTGCAAATTGAAAGAGACATGGCAAAAAGACAGATCAAATAACTGTCAATAATATAAATCTAGATTGTAGGGGAAAATAACTAACCATCGGAGGTTGAATAACACCACAACTGTAGATCCAACTGTCATCATCGTTGCTACTGGTGGAGATCAGGATCCAGCGCCGTCATCGCCTTGGAAAAATATGAAAGTTCAATAGCCAAATCAATTTGAAATATTGCATTGGACGAGGATGATGTACAACTATTCTAAATCATTCAGTGCCAAAGGACATAATTCCAATATCTCAGCTATATACCACCCTGAGTATACTTTATATTGACCGACAGGAAATCAGAATTTTTCTATGAGGTACGTGAACGGTTAATTACATTTTCTCTGTGAACCTTTTAAGGCCCGTAAAAAAAGTGGCACACGGGAGAAAATACGATTGAGTAGTGCAATTCAGATTTAGGAACTCAAAACTGAAATTTATGTTAGTTTGTTCTGTTTTCTAATGATTCATCGATGATCAATCTACTATTGCTCTTTCAGTGAGGTAATTACCTAAACAAAACATAATAAAAGTGAATTTTCCCTAGAAGTGCAAAACCATTCCCAATAACAAAGTGATAGTACTTGTCTCAATTTTTAGGTAAATATTGTGTATGCACAACCACCTTGGAAATTCTATAAGTTGGAAAGGAGGCAATTTTTACCTTTTCCAGTCCGAATATGTATGTATTGACTGGCAGGTCGTAAAAGCATAATTAAGACACTGACGAACGTATTGCCTGACTACAAAGCAAACAGAATGGCTTAAAATCCCACTACTACTGCTGCAACACTCAAAATCTACTTAGATTCTTAGACCAATGTAAATATGTCTATGGTTATCAATCTTAGTGAACTCCTTTCATGAAATTATAGTCAGATTAGTCATTATCAAATTAGTGGATCTGAGAGAGCACATGGGGATGAAGCATGGGGAGAAGCCGACACCTACCAGTAGATAGCAAGACGGAAGAGATCAGGTCCCCTACTGCAGCGTATGCTTGCACCTGTGGCCGGAGATAAGGATGATGTGCAGCCGAGGGGCGAGGGCAGGGATGGGGCGCACGAGTGCCGCCGATCTGGAGGAAGAGACGCACGCGCCGCCGCCGCTGCCTAGGAGGGAGAGAGTCGTCTGCTGGAGGAAGCGAAGCAGGCAGCACCGCCCGGCGGTGGTGGGTTGAGAGGCGACGCCGGCGCTAGCAACGCACCAGAGGACAACACACACGGAAGGGAACGAGGCACCGATTCCACGGTTGTGGAAGGAAGGGAGGCATCATAACCGCACCATGGCCCGTGGCCCGTGGGTAGTCGTGCGCGGATAAACAAATCGCTGGTGAAAAAAAAAACACTGTGGGGAGGGTGTGAAGGGTCGAGATGGCGGACTAGAGGGGGGTGAATAGTCCTTTCTAAAATTAATCGCGTCGGCTAACCGATATAAATGCGGAATAAAAACAATCGGTCTAGCCAAGACTACACCCCTCTATATATGTTCACTAGCACCTTGCAAAGATACTAATTATGCAACTAAGGTGCTGGGCTAGCTAGAGCTCTCCTAAACAATTCTAGGAGCAAGGTCACACAAACCTATGCCACTAGTACTTTAAGCAACAAGGAAGCTCCTACACATGCTAGTAAGCAAAAGCACAAAGCCAACTAAGCTCACTAGCAAAGCTCAATAACAAGGCAACCAATGCCTAATTAGAGAGCGCAAATACTT